CTATGAGGGGAGGGAGGAGATGCGTGGGGCAGCGGGGAGGTGCCTGTCGGGGGGGGGGGCTGGGAAAGGGGAGGGGGAAGGTGGGCGGGGGGGCTATGAAGGGAAGGTGGAGATGCGCGCGGCAGGGGGGGCTATGAGGGGAGGGAGGAGATGTGCGTGGCAGGGGGGAGGTGACTGGTCGGGGGGGGGGAGTGGGGAAAGGGGAGGGGTAAGATGGCCCGGGACGGGGCTATGAGGTGGGGCAGACGCCCCTGTCTAGGCGGGGGGACGCGCCGCCGCCAGGCTCCGCCCCTCACCTGAGCACGGGGAGGTGCTCTGGGGACGAGGCCTGAAGTAGCCAATGGGCGAATGCGGAGGAAGTTGTGCGCTCTGGGGCGGGGCTCCCGGCAGCCAATGAGAGGCCGTTGGGTGGGAATTGGGAGCGAGTGGCCGGCGCTGGGACTGGATCGAGTCGCTGGGGATGACGGCGCCGAGCCGCGGGGAGAGCGCGGGGCCGCCGCCCAGGTACCGGGGCCGGGCAGGGGTCAGACTGGGGTGTGGAGGGGGCCGGACGGGGGCTGGGGGATCAGGCTGTGCAGGAGGATGGTGGGGAGGCCAGGCAGGCGGTACAGACTGGGGAGCACAGCGGGGAGAGGACGGGGCGCAGGGTGGATGGGTCTGTTAGGGGGGCACAGGGTGGGCCCTGGAGAGGGGAGGGGAAGAGAGGGGGTGGATCGGGTAGGGGCGCAGGCTGGGTGGGGGTGGATGGGGCTGGCGGGGGGCACAGGCTGGGCCCTAGAGAGGGGAGGGGAAGAGGGGGGGTGGATCGGGTAGGGGCGCAGGCTGGGTGGGGGCGGATGGGTCCGGCAGGGTGCGCAGCTGGGCCCTGGGGAGGAGAGAGGGGTGGATCGGGCAGGGGCGCAGGCTGGATGTGATGAGAGGGACGTGGGGCGATAGTATAGCCAGGCCACAGGGAGCAGCATATTTGGGCTGCTGTGTTGTGTGCCAGGGGACTGAAGGGAAGTTCGCTCTAGGTGGTGCCAGCAACGCTTCCTTTGTACTGTGAGACCCCACTTGGCCTCTTCTGGCGCATGTCCCGGGGGGTTGGCTGGCAGGGACCCACGCTTCCATTGATGCTCCTTTTGCAGCAGTGACAGAGACCGGTCTTGTTACTGTGTAGGGAGCCTTCAGCCCAGATGGCATCTGCTGGCTTATGAGGGGGGGCTCTTCAGCTGCAACCGACACCACCTTGCCATCTGATCTGTAACATGGAGGGACTCTGCCATACCTAGCAGTGTCTGCTGAGTGCGAGTTTGCTCCCTATCACGGCAGAGTCTGTAATTGAGTATCCCCGATCCTCCTGCGTTGGAATCTGCAAGGCCGACCACTCTCTGTCCACACGCGCGAGAATACTGTGGAGTTAACTCAGGTTCTGTAGCTGTCATGGCGCACGTGTCACCCAGTTGTTGCTGTGGTGGGACGGGGGCAGGGAAGTGAGGTTACACCCTGCCACTGACTTGCTGTTGCTGTTTGATTTGAGGCTGAGGCGAAGGACCTATTTTCTTGGTCTGCCTTACTAAGCTAATGGCACGAGCCTGTACGCAACCTGCTAGGATCTTATCTTCCTCTCTTTCCTGCTGCTATCCATACAGTAGCTGCTAAATACCCTGTTCATCCAGTGTGAGGTGGTGCTGACCTATGACAGGTGAAGCAGGAGGGAAGAGGCTCTTGTGCTAGTTGCAGAAGTGTCTTTCCAAGCCTGACTGAGCACAAGGCTTTTGCAGTTCCCTCCTGGGGCTGTACAGGAGGTGAAGAAGGGGGTTCCTCTGCTGCAGCCTCTGGAGATTTCCAATCTCTAGAACTGCTCTGGGCTGCACAAGCTGGTTAATCCAGGCTATATGCAGCTGTAATAGAGCTAAAGGTTGCCTGCAACTAGGAGTTCTCCAAATGCTTTGCCATGGAAATTGCTTGAGGACAGAGCTGTCTATCTCTCTGAGAGCTGAGTTGTGTCTCTGGCTGGGGGCCAAACAAGGAATTTTTCTGCTTGAGTTTCAGCCAAGGGTTGCTTGCTGAGGTTCTGGAGGCCCTGTGGAACTGGGATCTAAACCACAAGTCCTAGCTCAATGTCCCTTCTGGCTGGTGAAAATCATTGGGCCAGTGTTGGGACCATTATTGGCACTCATTGTCAACACCTCCTTTCAGGAGGGAGAGATGCCTGCTTCTCTTAAAGATCCTTCCTCACTGAACCCTTTTGATGGTGCCCAGCTCTCTAATTATTGCTCTGTCCTGAGTCTCCTGTTATTAATGAAGTCAAGGCAGCTCTGTCAGGATCTGGATCCTCAGGTCTCCTAGACTCCAGTCAGTCTGGGGTTTGGAGATGCAGTGATTGATATTTGGGAGTGATTCCCCTCCTGGTGATCCCTTCCTTTAGAGCAGGGGTTGGCAACCTATGGCACATGTGCCGAAGGCATCACATGAGCTGATTTTCAGTGGCACTCACACTGCCCGGGTCCTGGCCACTCGGTCCGGGGGGGCTCTGCATTTTAATTTAATTTTAAATGAAGCTTCTTAAACATTTTTAAAACCTTATTTACTTTACATATAACAATAGTTAATTATATATTATAAACTTATAGAAAGAGACCTTCTAAAAATGTTACAATGTTACAATGTATTACTGGCATGCGAAACCTTACATTAGAGTGAATAAATGAAGACTTGGCACACCACTTCTGAAAGGTTGCCGACCCCTGCTTTAGAGCGATTAGCTACCTTCCCTACGTATGGTGACTAATGGTGCAGATGGAGTCATTGAGTGATTCTTCTCCTTTCTTATTGAGGGACCCCAGAGGTTACTGGGCAATTGCTCCTCTGCCCTAAGGGCTACTTCAGGCTTGGTTTCCTGTGGTTTAATTGTGAGTAGAACATTTTTGGTAAGGGTGGGCCCCTTGACTTTGGAATTCACTTCCCTCTTGGTTCAGTGGCACTCTCTGGGTATGCTGCAAGGCTGGTCTGTTTTGCCAGTTTTTCAAATGGGGGGGAGGTTAGGGTGGGTATAGGTAGGTTTGAAATGGGGATGATGGCTGCAGCTCCTTGGTAGGGTGGAGAGAGTCCGTCATCTGTTGCTTTTAATTGCAAGATTTCCTGCCGCTTTAATGCAGGTGCCCCCTTGAACAGCAGAGTGGGCACAAAACCCAGACATGTTTTGCTGCAGCTGGTTTTGTAAATCCAGAGAGCAAGAAAGGGAATGAGGAGTTTTCCCTTGCCATCTTTAAACAATGCAGATGGTCAGGAGCAATTCCACGCAGGTCTTGGTGCCAGCGTCAAAGCTTGCATCATACAGAAATGAATTGCTGGGAAGGAGGAGGGCAGTCAGTGAGAACTTGTGGTTTCTTCTAACTTCTCCCTACACAGTTCTTGCTTTGTCTGCTGCCGTTGAGCCTTAGTCCTGGAGAGCAGGACTGCGGAAGCCTGTCTCTGCCATGTGCACAGCTCCCCAACTCTGAACAGGGCTGGACACGTTGGCAGATTAGCAGGCAGTGTTCTGCTGCTGACATGTTCAGACTTTTTGTGTGTGAATGTTTCCGGGCTCTGTGTTTTTGATGAGTTTCGTAGGTCTCTTTGTAAACTGGGTTGCGGAGCATATGGTTATACACTGGTAAAGCAGAGGGAAAAGCTGACTTTTATTTAGCTGGGGCAAAAAGTTTTCCCCCACACTTTCTCTTTTCTCCATTTTATTGCATCTCATCAAACATGCTGCTGGGTCATTCACCAGGCTGCTGGCGCTTTCTCCATATGCTAATGAAGCTCCGTACTGTTTCTTGTTGGGAAACGGAGTCGCTGTTTCCCGTAAAGCGAGGCCAGGCCTTCCTTTGAATCTCAGCACTAACAGGATCTGCATTGTTTGTTTTGCTTTATTACATTTCATTCCTTGCTTGTTAGTATGAGCATCTGAATAACGCCCTCTTCCCGCACTGGTGCGTGTTAATTCTTTCAGCAGGCTGAGCACTCTCTTGGATTGAGAATGTTTGTTTGCCTTGGCGTGTTGGGATATATAGGAGACCGGTGCTGCTGCATTGGGCTTGGATTTCTGAGATGCGCTGTGACTGGCTGACTTCACTTCTTCCAAACACGTGGCATCTTTCATAGCTATTTAGACTTCACCTTTTTCAGTGCATTTAGCCCTGCTGCCTGACACTTAGAACATGGCTAGCAGGGAAGATAAGAATCTGGTGTGGCTCCCCCTGGGGGGCTTTATGTCCACGGGGAACATGGGGAAGAGACGGCTTCTTTCTGCATTGTTTGTGTGTCCTTGCTCTTGCTGTTTAGATTGCCAGTATGGACACGTGGCCACTAGGAACCGGACCCGCAGCATGCAGGCTACCAAACAGCCAGCAGATGATCATTACTTTTGATTGCTTCTGACCTTCTCGAGACTGCGGTCAGCCAGCTAGAGCTGCCTGACTCCACCAGTCCTTAAGCCAGGGGGTCTGCTGGATTCTTGTGATTTTTAAAGAAACCGGGCAGTGGGCTCAGCCCCTAATCAGAGAGCTATCTCTGAAACACTGGGCTGAACAACTCCCGAGCATTCTCCTGTTCTTGGGATCTCCTTTCCTGAGCCTGTTTTTTTTCCCCTAAAATGTAACTTCCTTACCCCAGCTCCAAGCTGAGTGTTCATTTCTTGGTGGTAGTCACACAAATGTCTAATCCTTACTATTGGTGACTCTCACATCCCTGCTCCCTGGTGATAGTAGCAGCAATCTGGCTAGACATGGAGCAATGGGCATGTGACATAGCTTAGACATTTACGTTTTGTTTCCTATTTCTAGGCTGTTATCTGGATGCCTGGGGACACTTATTAAGTAAAGGGTGAGAAAGTAGGGTTGGCATTTTGTTTGGCTGGTGAGTGAGGACACTGGGAACCGGACACTGTGTGGGAACCAGACAGGGGACCAAAGGCAAAGGACCTGATTTCAGAATTTAGGTTGCTTTCCTGACTCTGGGTCAGTGTGCTCCGCTGTTGTTTCTTGGGAGAGAAACACAGACACTGCGCTCCTAATTACACTCCACTTTGGCGCTGCGCCTTAGTCAGTTGGTTAAACTGAAGGCCTGGTGCATCTGAGTAACATGCAACCTGGGCAATCGGGGAGGAGGTTAAAGTGGGGAACTGCATTTGATTGATTTACTCTTGCCCCCATTTGGGTGGGGGGAGAAGGGGGAGCTGTGTTCTGGACGTTGTAGCCCACTTTGGCTTGGTTTTTATGGTGTGGAAGTTGGAATTGGAGGGGGGCTCATTTGAGCAGAGCAAAGACGTGGAGAATTCAGGACAGCGCCTGTGAAGGATATGACGTGAGGTGTGGGAAGAGCTGGTGGCAAATGACAAACTGAGCATGGAAATCGCAGTGGGTGAAACTTGCTCTGCTTGCATGAGCCTGAGTTCACCTGTCCTTCGCTGGGAATCCAGCCACAGCTGCTGCCCATGGGGTGCTTACATGGAGTTTGAGGGTCAGCAGCTCAGCCCGATC